AAAGTTTTCATGCCACACTGCTGACAGCGTAGCCTGCGTGGAAGGCTGAGATGAAATGAAAAAGACTGTCTTGGCCTTTGGCAGTGCCCTTTTTGAGGCTGCCACATAACACTATGTTCCATCTTTTTTATGGGGGGAGGGGAGGGGAGGTTGGACAGGGCTATTCAATTCTGGTACACGATACGCTTTCTTATAACTAAACTTACTCTTTTTTTGCTATTTGATTGTTCCAGACTTTTCTCAGTTTCCTTCAACTCCAGTTCAGTATTTTTCAACCGACATTCAACTCTGTGTTTCTCTTCTTCTGTAAATTTCAGTTTCTTCTCAATATGTGACTTAATGTCTAGTTCCTGTTGAAAATGGAAAATTGTCAGTTCGTATTTTTTTCAATTCTAAAATTGACTGGTCATTGCTACATTTTTACTGTTAATAAACAAATTGCTTGTAAGCCTGACCTACCTTTTCCAGCTTGACCCTCAATTCTTTCTCAGTTTCCAAACTTTCCCTTAAACTTTTCATGTTGTTTTCTTTTTCATCAATAACATTCCTGGCAATCTAAAGTATAGTCATGAACATCATGAGTAATGTAAATGGAAAATGAAAAGGGAAACATTTTAGAAAATAATTATTCACCTAAAAAGCATGATACAATATTTTTCATATTTACAAACAAAAACAGAATATACCAAAGAACAAACCTGCAAGGTGTCCTTGACTTCCGTGAGTTCCAAATTTAATACTTGAATTTTCCTTCCCCTCTCCTGAGCTCTGGCTCTGATAAAAAAAAAAAAAAGAAGAATAACAGGCTGCATGATCAACCCAACACCTTTTCTTATATTCATTTTAAATACAAGTTTCTAGACATAATGTGCAGACCAATTTCCAAGCTTCTACATCCCCCACTAAGCAATCCACAGGCACTTGACTATTGTCACGAACAGGTGGCTCAGAACAAATGGCCTATAAGAAAGTCACAGGGGTTTATATTGCCTTCTACCTAAAAATTTAGGAACAAATCCAGCACTTGGGTGGGGCATTTGAACACAATTTTGGCCCTGGGATGGGAATGTACTAATCTTCAAAAGTTCACATGCCTGTGGGGGGTGGGGGGAGGGGGGAATAAGTTCTTGCACTTCAGAGGAAAGAAAATCTATGCTCTGGTTCAACTGTAAGACTAGTGCAATAAAAACTGATGTACCACTCACTGTGCCATTCTCAAGGTGTGTCTTTCCTCATCTAAGTCCTTTCTGGCTTGCTCTGTTTCCTCTTTTTGTAACTCAATTGCTTGTTTACTTTTCCTGAGTTGATCTTTGAGTTCTTCTCGATCTGCTTTGTATTCCAGAGCTCTTGTAAGCTTCTCTTTATTTCTTGAGAGATTGTTTTTTAGCTTTTCAATCTCCTTTTCATCTGTAATTGAGATAGCATTGATGAAATCATTAAACTTTAACATAATTCTAACTATTAAAAGTTGTCATTTG